AAAACACCGTCGACATCTCACCACTGGGAGGGTCCCAAGAAGCATGAATATCACAAATGTGCGACGTCCATTTCTGACTGTCCGTACGTATTCATCGAACTCAACACAGTCCCCTCTCTCACAAGCCAACTTCACCGTCTTGTGCGTCGAAAGTTCATCCTCGCTCTCCATCGCTTCCTCCACTTCCGCGCAGCCCGTCGGATCCGCCTCGTGGGATAGTTCACGGGACTTTCGCCCCCAACGAAGATAGCTGCGTCGTAAAGGAGGCCCCCCAGAATAGCACCGCTTATGGGCCCTAACCATGCGACTTTGAACCAATAGCCGTCTGCGAAGAGGGTTTTGAAGTTGCCGTGGCCGAGAACGAGCATTGCAAGGCGGGGGCCAAAGTCGCGTGCTGGGTTCATGGCTAGACCGGTGATATACCCAAATCTGTAGTGAGATAACATGCACAGGTCAGCAAGTCTGCGAACAAGAGCTCGTTCTTGTACTTACGCCATGCCAAGGACAGTAACTAGCAAGCCGACTATAAAGGCGTTCATCCCGGCCCCAGGAGGAGCATTGGTGTCGTCACCGAGGGCGAGAACCGAGATAGTAAGGATGGTTGTGCCCGCGAGTTCGGCAAGATATGCCGTGCCGCTATCAACCCAGGAGGCGCGGGGGAAGGTGAGGAAGTTAGATAATACTACTGTTGACATCGGCAACACCAGTGGAGAGACTGAAGCCGAGCCAATGCCTCCAGCCAACTTCTGTTCTACTAGGTGGCTTTGTTGCTCCTGCGCCGCATGCAGTTGCAGAGCGATGAGGCCGGGCCGGAAGATACCAAAGGCAACCAAAGCCGCCAGAAAAGCGCCGAGCATCTGAGCTGCGACGTAGACGGGGATTTTGCGCAACGGAAACCCACGGTAGATGTAGAGCATTAGTGATATCGCAGGGTTCAGATGAGCGCCGGATATCCCGCCCGCGATGTAGATGGCTAACATGGTCGCGAAACCCCATGCCCAGGTTCCTGTATCATTGACGCCAGCTGCTCCATGCGAGACAGTCATTGACAGATTGGCGCTGAATCCAAGTGTGTATTGAACCATGATCTGTGGGAATGAAGTAGATGTCAGAGTATCATCCTCAAATTTCTTGTCTTCATAACCAAAAGTGAAGGGAAAGAGGGATCCAGAGGGTTACATACTCCTAGTAGCTCGGCCAACGGTTCTCGAAAACGCAGCCGAATAATGGACCAGTATGTGTGCAGATTGTGGATTTCTTCATCTTCGGCCTGATACGCTGCCAAAGGAACTGCATCCTCGTAGGGGTCGTCTTTCCATTCCTCTTCCTCCTCCTTTGCTCGCTTCACGTTTGCCACTGCTTCGGGTAGTGACAGCTCTGGTGGTTCAATCTGCTCCGCCTGTTGAGACTCGGAGCCTGCTTCTTCCTCGATTGTATCTTCTGGTCGAATCCACGTGTGCGGTGTTTCGGTCAGTGCGTCTGAAGTTCTTCTGGCGGCACCAAAGGGTGAAAATGCCGGTGACTCTTGGTACTGGTTTTGATAGGCTCGATACAGGGATATTTCTCTCTCGCGTCGGATAGTGTCCAATTGCGAAGATACCTTGTCTGGCCTTAGAGAGGGTTCAATCCTGCCGGCTTCGATATCTGCCATCAGCGGCTGTTGTGCCTCTCTTTCTTCGTCTTGGACTTCTTTCTCAAGCTCATCCTTGGCTGGAACCATGCCTGGTCTCAGCACACGAGGCAACGGTTTAGCAAGACCCCACACGGGTCTGACATTCGTTGGTTGATCATATGCCGGATTGAGTTGTGTGTATCCTGGGTCAATGTATGGTTGGTTGGCGGCCAAGGTATCCAGAGGAGGTGGGCCAGCGAGGGAGAATTTTCGGGACGCAGTATCGGTGGCATCGCCTCTCGCTGAAGGCGCAGCAATGACAACAGATCTTCTGCTGGAATCCGCATAATCTCTTCCCCAAGTTCGTGCTGGACCAGGACTTGGGTTCGGACTTGTTTGAAGGCTACTGATGCGATGACGCAGTGAAGCCGGGCCAAAGTTGAAGTCGGGATACCTAGAACGAGATTGATGCTGGGACGGCGACCTCGATAGGTTCTGCTCGGCGTAGTCTCTGGAGAGCACCCGACCTGAGGTTCGTGTTGACACCCTCGACGCACCCTCTGGGCTGTTTGCCTGTTCACTGTTCTCCATAGTTGATGAATGGTTATCTCGGGCCGGTAAGTTTTGGATCTAGGTTCCGGCAGCCGGATATTTTGCTGCAAAATCTTCAAGTGCTTCTATATCTATTTCTGGCCGAGGAGAGGCGGCCCTTCTTTTGGGTCGTCTTGACCAAAGGTGATGCTAGCAGTAGATTGCCATTGCTCTAGACGGTCCCAAGGAAGGGTCAGGGACAGCGCAACGCTGCTCTGGAGACGAATCTCCTGGTATGGTCACTTGGATGCATACCGTTATCAACGTCAGGAGATGTCATTCTGTAAAAGATCCAAGCTCGAGGCGGTCAAGATAGCCCAGAGAAGCTCATCGTGCCGTTCCATGACCTCATTGCCTTTATATCACGCTTTGCCCATTCGGGTTAGCCTATTCTACTCGATGGTGACCACAAAGCGGCGAGGGCGGCTCCTTTTCCGCCCAATCATTGACGACTCAGCGACTCTATTAAATACCCCTGTCTGACAACACGGAGGTATAGTCCCTATTCTGCCTATTCCAATTGCTCCTTAATCCGAGGAGTCCTCGGTCTTTCTCAAAAACTTACCTACCAAATCACAATAATCCTCACAAATCAGCTGCAACCTTACAAGGCAGCTCTTCCAGAAACTAATACAATACCGTCTGGGCATCATGTTTACATCCGCTGTCTGATCGGCTGGATGCTTCGAGTCCTCGGCAACTCATGGGAAGAAGCCGTTCGACAAATGTCCGGGACTTGGTCAGGTTTGAACTATATATTTGAACTTATGTGGTGCTCCGCCGTCGAGTCTCTCCCTTTTCCCCAAATATATGCACCTCCCCTCTTGGTCGTGTCTGTCTTCAACAGGACTTCTAATTGCCTAATATTGAGCCATGGCCGAAAAGGCGGACGCCCACCATGTGGATGCACCAAACACACTTCCTCTTTCAACAGAATTGGTCGCTGACAAGTACGAGAAACCCTTGGCTGTTGACACGGTTCATGGCGATGAAGCACTGAAGATTATTGCTGCCGTTGAGGGAGACGATACCTGGACCGGAAAGGAAGAAAAAGACCTCGTCAAAAAGATTGATCGGCGATTGTTACCTGTCCTCTGCCTGGTATACGGTATTCAATTCTATGATAAGGCGATGCTGGTGAGAGATAGAATTGAACAGTCCGGCTCATCAAGCTAACGCTCCCTTTAGGCACAAGCTGTGAGCCGTTTACAACTGCACCAATCTGGGACTCGCTAATTCTTGATATGCTAGGCTTTATTTGGACTCGAAGAGGATCTTGATCTCGATATTGGTAACCGCTTTGTTTTTTCGTCTTCCATCTTCTATCTGGGCTTCATCGTCGGCGCTTATCCTGCTATAATGATGGCTCAACGTTGGCCCATTGAGAGAGTTGCTACAGGCATCACGTTTGTCTGGGGCATCATCGTCATGTGCAGTGCTGCTTGCAAAACATACGCCGGCTTTTACTCACAGAGGTTCTTCTTGGGCGTTATCGAGGCGGGTATTTCGCCCATTTTCATGCTTGTCGTTGGGGGTTGGTACAAAAAAGATGAACAAGCTTTGAGAATGGGAGTCTGGTACAGCTGCACTGGTTCGTTTTTCCCACAATGCGCTATCAAATGGGCGTTCCCGGCTGATTTTCAACCTCAATCCAGGTTACATTTCGATTGTCTCACCGCTTATCAACTACGGCCTCGGACATATCACAGGAGGCTCTTTGCACTCGTGGCAGTACATGTACCTCTTCGCTGGTGGTGTCACAACACTGCTCTCGGTCCTCGTGCTATTTTTTCTGCCGCCGGACCCCATACGCGCCAAACATTTCACAGATCGCGAACGCTATATCGCTGTTGCTCGACTCAGGGTCAACAACTCTGGTGTCCGAAATATACACTTTAAGCCGTCTCAGGTCTTCGACGCTTTGACAGACGTCAGATTCCTCCTGCTATTCTTCACCACCTTCCTCATGTTCTTTGCCAATGGGGCGAACGCGACGATGGCACCCATTATTGTCCACAGCTTCGGCTACTCCACACTCAATTCCCTCTTGCTAGTTGTCCCTGCTGGGTTTGTGTCCGGGACCATCGAACTGCTGGTCTGTTATCTGGCATACCGAATCAAGGGAATTCGAATTTACCTCTTTGTCATCTGCGTTTGCACCACCATGTTAAGCTGCTTGCTTTTATGGCAGTTGCCTCGATCTGCCAAAGGTGGTCTCTTGTTCGCTATTGAGATCCTTCCTGCATTTGGTGGTGGCTACGCCATCCTTATGGGCCTACAGATCGCCAATACAGCGGGCTACACGAAGCGCAGTGTCACCGCAGCTGGGTTGTTCATCGCTTGGTGTCTTGGCAACTTCACAGGGCCGCTGCTTTTCAAGAAAAAGGATGCTCCCGTCTATGCTCCAGCGTTTGCAGTCATTGTTGCAGGCCTGGCGGCAGCAGTTGTGTTGGCCATAGTGTACCTGTTCGTCTGCAAATTCGAGAATTCAAAACGAGACAAGAGCGGAATGACCGAGGCTTTTGAGCATGCTTACAACGACGACCTGACGGATAGGAAGAACAAGCAATTCAGATACGTGTACTAGGTTGAGAACATTGGCAGGAGAGGATCGATGCTGAAAGCGAATACCGAGTCCGAGGGGGAGCAGTTTCCAGGTCCACAACATCTCCTAGGTCACAATCACAGGCTGTGATGCTAGCTAGCTTGTCAAAGAAAATCTCTGTACTGTTTCTATCGATATTTCTACTTTGTCACGGACCACTGAGACGGAGCGACTACTAGGTATTCACCTCGATCATAATTTAGCACCCAATTCCTTCTTCACCAACTCCCTCAACTCCGCTTTCTGGATCTTGCCATTGGCATTTCTCGGCACCTTGTCGATGAATCGGATACCGCCGTCGAACTGCTTGTACCGCGCCAACTTGTCCTTGGTGAACTCCCTGATCTCTGCCTCTGTCACAGTCGTGCCTGGTCGTACCACGACATATGCCCGCGGCAGCTCGGACTCGTCGATGGCCGCTTGGACCCCGATGACGGCGCAATCTACGATATTGGGGTGCAGGAGGAGTGCAGCCTCGAGTTCGGCAGGTGCGACTTGGAATCCGCGGACTTTGATGAGTTCCTGTCGAGGAAAAGGGCAATCAGCCTTGTTGTCGTCCTACAACGTGATAATAACTCGCTCATTTGAGAGCAGACGTCGAGCATACACGGCAGAGATGACGACGTACCTTTTTGCGATCAACGATATACCACTTCTTTGTCTCCGAGTCGCAATACGCAATGTCTCCCGTGTGAAAATAGCCGTCTCGATCCCAGTCTCGTCGATTCGCCTCTTCGTTCTTGTAATAACCCTTCACAATGATGGGGCCGCGAATGCACAGTTCTCCCCGGGCATTTTGCCCGTCGCCTCCCTTGACGTCGGTCACATCGTTTCCGTCGTCGTCGACAACCTTTGCGTCGCAGTTGGGCAACAGCCGCCCCACGCTGCCCGTAGAGTCCTGCTCTGGATAGTAGAACCACATCGCCAGGCAGGTGGTTTCGCTCATTCCCCAGGCCTGATTGAACGGGGTATCTGGCCGCAAGTACTTCTTGAAGCGAAACTGAAGACTCTTGTCGAGTGGTGCGGAGCCAGACCACGCGTTGCGAAGGCTCTGCAGCGAGTATTTCCCCGAGTCGAGATGACCGGATGTCAAAAGACTGATGACCATCATGGGGACAATGTTCACTTCAGTGATGTTGTACCTCGAAATATTCGCAAGCCACGCCTCGAGCTCGAACCGACGCATCACGTGTGTCGGTATCCCGGCTTTGATCGCGCTGGTGTGGACTCGTGGGACTTGTGACACATGGAAAAGCGGGTTCGAGATCAGTCGGCGAACCTGAGCATGGTCGGGTGCAGAGTTAGCCACCTTCAAGAACTGAAAGGGATAGCCGCACTGACCTCGTATGGCCGAGGCCGGACCTCCATCACCACAATATGCTGTGACACCTGAACCCCGATCAGGACCATTCGCTTTCAAAGAGACGGAAAGCAGCCAAACTCACAAGATTCCAGACCGATATGTCCAGCGCCTTTGGCATACCCGTCGTCCCGCTACTGAACAACCTGGCGACGATGGTCTCCTTGCTGCGTGTTTCATCGTCGAATCGTTCCCAATCCATCTGCCCGTTGCGGAGCAGCGCCCTCCAACTTTTTACACCCAGATGCTGTGGAATAGTTTGTTTCAGGGTGTCAAAGGCGAAGACATTCGATGCAGGGAGAGAACATTCCCTCGCCGCAAGTAAAGCTTTGGGGACAAACTCGGGCTCGACGATCAGGTGCGTTATGTCAGCAGTGCGGATGGCATGTGCCAGTTCGAAGACTGTGTACGAAGGGTTGACCCCGGAGAAGATTCCTCCAGCGGCTATTATCCCGAGGAAGATCATGGAGTAATAAATCTGTCATCTTTGTAAGTAGCCGCTAAGCATCTGCAGCGAGTAAACGAAGTGACTTAGTGCAAGAGATATTGAAGACGGGACAAATGCAGGACCACGGCCCAGCAAAAGCATACATCGTTGAACGCCATCACACAGACACAGTCGCCCTTCTTCAAACCGATGCCACGAAGACCGGCGGCAAGTTCACGGACCATTTTGCGAGCCTGTCGGCAGGAGATCGATCGCGAAGGCGTCTGCGCATCGATGTATATCTGTGATTACGCTGTGAGCGGTCCGATCGCAATTGCATTTCTAGTGGCGTGGCGCCAGTGGCTTTTAATTCGTACCGGCTTGTCTTCGTCGTATGCGACGTGGTCGTCAAACATCCATGTTAGCAAGTCTGTTCCTGGGATCGGATAGTGTTCCTCTGCTAGGTACGGCATGGTTTGTATCTCTGTAAAGGGTTTTGTAGAGAGTCGATCAAGTCCCGGGAGGAATCAAACGTTCGATCTAAGTATCTAGATGTATATTGAAAAGCTGACTATCAAGCCGAGACGAGCCTCAGATCTGTTGGCAGAGGTCTGATACCGAGACGGCTCTGCTCGACAAGAAAATCTACCTATCTTGTCCCCAAAGCCGCGGCTGCACATGTAGCATACATTTCGGCAGTGCGGCAAAGATACACAGAGCCATTGAATACGTGTGTGGGGGTTTCCAGCGTACCCCATACAAGGCTGGCGCCGAGGCCTCCGCGGCAGGCGGCAAATATTCCTTCCTATTCAGGAATAGTGTAGCCTCGTGCGGAGTTCTTTCAAAGGGACGTTACACCACCTCGCTGCCACTGCCCACAGTCATTGTAGTGTGGGCATCAAAAGTGTGATATCGTGACCATTCTTGTGATATTACGGTGGAGTGCTCTGCTACTAGTCCAGTCTTGAACCTCGCCCTAAGCTGTTTATCTTTACAGTCATCATACCAGGACCCCAGACCTGACGCACCTCTGATCCTCCCACAGGTCCATTTGGGCCTTTTCACCAAGCCTGACTTGATATCCCGAGGTTGAGAATATTGCCTATTCACCATTACCACCCCACAACTAGCTCAGTGGCCGTCACAATGCTGCCTGGTCAATCTCGACCCCCGCCACCCATACCCGCCTTCAAGCGGACAGCTCAAGCATGCAGATATTGCCAGAGCAGAAAGACCCGATGTGATAGGAAGATTCGTGGTTCCACCTGCACCAATTGTCGTCTTGACGCGGTTGAGTGCTTGCCCGGCAACAGTAAGCCTGCGCGGCAAGAAAAGCGACGTTGTACGAAACCCAGCTCCCACAAGAGCCTGTCCGTCCCCCGTACAGAGGGTGGTCACGATTCAATGCTCCGTGATAATTCCATCTTTTCGTCAACAGCATGTCCACAGATCAGGTTACCAAACTTTGTCAGCCCTCTGGTTGCAGACTTGAGCCCCGAAACTACTGCTTATTTGCAGCACAGGGGAGTCTTCGACATACCGAATGCCAACTGCCGGAACGAACTGTTGCGCAGCTACTTTCTGTTCAGCTATCCTTTGTTGCCTCTGCTGGATATTGGAGACTTCTTGCGTCCGATGATCGAAGACGCTACAGGGGACAAGGTCAGCTTACTGCTCTTCTATGCTGTCATGTGTTCTGGGGCTGCACATGTCGACATGCAAGTCTTGAGAGAGTTGGGCTTCACGTCGAGAAAGCTCGCCAGAAGCGCATTCTTCGAAAGAGCACGCGTGAGTACTCACGTCCGGAGATGCGCCGCTGATGCTAACCGCCAAAGTTGCTATACGACCTCGACTGCGAAAGGGATCGAGTCGTGCTGGTACAAGCCTTCCTGTTGATGACATACTGGTATGATCCCCGAGAAACGCATAAAGATCGAAAGTTTTGGATCCGCTCCGCCGTGACCCTTGCCCAGGATCTAGGCCTGGACCTGCATCTCGAATCTTGTGACACAAAGCGACATCGAATGCTCAAGAGGTTGTGGTGGTGTTGTTTCATGCGCGATCAATTCGTCGCGCTCATGACTTGGACTCCGCCACAACTGGGGGCGTGGCATCGCCATCTAACCATGCTGGCAGCGGACGATTTCGAGATGCCGGATTTCTCTCCGGCGGTGTCCCGTATCCTCAGAACGTGGGCTTTCGTCGATGACCAGAGGAGCCGGATTGATCTCGCAACGCTCTGCATCGAAAAGGCAAAACTCTGCGTGTGCATAAATGAGATCCTGCAAGCACGGTATTCGAGTCGCCGGTACGAATCAGAAAGCAAGATGATGACGATTCTTGTCCCGCGTCATTCCAGTGCCCATTCGTTTGAGATCTTGGAGCTCGACCGGCAACTGCAAGAATGGTATCGTGGTCTGTCCGGCGCCGGAAGATTCGACCTGCGCGACCCCGCGGATTCTGCATTCATCAAGACCTCGAATGTCATCGCCATGCATCGAGCACACCTGAAACTACTCTTCCTCTCGGCGATGATTGCGCTTCACAGACCCCAGATTTCAGAAGCGACCAACACCCTACCGCCCACGTACCGACAGCTGTCGCAGACGAAACTACGTGACGCAGCAGAAGAGGTGGCCCACGTCGCCATATCGATCAAGAACCTCGAGATGGGAACGCATATGACTCCCCGAGGAGTGACCCTGCTGCTCCCAATCATGCTGGTCCATCTCCAAGACGTCATGCCAGAAACACAAAACCCGCAGAGAAGCAGGTTGGAAAAGTATTACGACTGTATGCACATTCTGGACTCGATCGGAGCCGACGGAGCCTCTGAGGATTTGCTGCCCTCGAGACTCGAGGCTGCGTTTCTGAAGTTCAATATCTTGCCCTCGGCCGAGCACTCGATTCCCCCTTCTCTCAGTGTCAGGCCGAATGTTGACGATTTGCCGTTGTCACGCACAAGCCTGTTTTCATGCTTGTCACAACTCGGCGTTATGACTTCGTCCGAGGTCGACCTTCTGTCTGATATGAGCCTCGCTCGCGCGTGCGTGTCGGACACATCGGAATGCGATCGTTTTCACCATCAAAGGTCTTCTAACTCTATCTCGCCATCAGGACGGACAGTAACCCGCCAGCCGAAAATGGAGCTACACTTGCCCTCGACCTCATCTTGCAGAGCACCGGTAAGCCTCCCACCTACCCAAGTCCTAGATATCGAGAGAACGGTGGATCCCAGACAGGTCTATGCTGCCCCGACTCCAGCGAATCTGTGCAGGCCGACGCAACCAATTGGACAACCCGGCCTTCTCTCCCATCCCGGAGAGGAAGACACCATAATAGAATGCTTCTTCACTTGGAAGATCGAGAGGACAAAGATTCCTGTACAGAGACAGCTCGTTGAAAGAGCGTACGAAGTCGTCTTGACCCAGATGTGGACTTTGGATGATTTGAGGGCCATGGAAAATCTCAACTCTGACCTCTACAGACTGGCGATGCGACATGGCATACCAGATGGTCTAGCAAGGGCTTTTCGCAGGGACTTTGACGTGTTTATGTCTCAGTGGTAATTTTTGGGTGACGTTTCGACGCTTAGAGGATGGAGCACGCACGCAGGGTAGCTAGTAGCTAGCCGTTTGCCGAAAGACAAAAGGCTATGCTCTTGTAGTTATCTCAACCCTGGCAAGGCTGAATGAGGCCGAGTCCCTTGCCCTGCCAAGAAACCAGGGGTTTTTCCAAGCGATGGATGCCGCAGGTTTCCCCACAGCAAAAACTCAAGGTATGTAAGTTGTAACAGCTAATTGCCCCGCAACCACATGCGCTATTGACTCACAATCCCGCGCAGCCAGTGCTCATACGATACCTCTTCCATTCAGCTTCCAACCCTTTGTCTCGCACGGATTTCCAAAAGGCTGAGGACATAATAAAATACTAGATCACAGTCTCGGTCCCAACTTACGTGTGAGCCATACAGAAAGATGGCCGACCCTCCTCCGCCCAAATACGTCTCGATCGCCCCGCTGCTGAAAAAGCTGTCGGCCCCGTCACCCCAGGACAACAGCGTCAGGGCCGAGGACATTGCGCTGGCCTTCTCCCGCACGTTCGAAAACGAACTGAACCCCACGCAGCTCGCGGCGCTGCTGACGCTCCTGCACTCGACGGGCAAGGACCGGCATCCGGACGTGATCGCGAAGTGCGCAGAGAGCATGCGCGACGCCGCCGTGCAGGTGGACAAGCAAAAACTGAGAGAAGTCGTGCGGAAGAGGAAGCGCGGCCGTATGGGCCTGGGCGGGTACAGGGGCGGGCTGTGCGACATCGTGGGCACGGGCGGAGATTCGCATTCGACGTTCAACATCTCGACCACGGCGTCGATCATCGCGTCGCCGATCCTGATGATGGCCAAGCACGGCAACCGGGCGCAGACGTCCATGTCTGGGTCGGCGGACGTGCTCAATGCGATCCTGCCCAAGGCGCCGAGGATAGAAGCGCTGAGCGCGGAGCTGTTGCCCGAGGCGTACGAGCATACGAACTACACGTTCCTCTACGCGCCGAATTTCCACCCGGGCATGAAATATGCCGCGACCGTGCGGCGAGAACTCGGACTGAGGACAATCTTCAATCTGATGGGCCCGCTCGCCAACCCCGTCGAGGCGCACATCGAAGCCCGGGTCGTGGGCGTCGCGTACCAAGAGCTGGGTCCCGTCTTTGCGCAGGCGCTCCAGTTGTCCGGTGCGACCAAGGCGCTCGTGGTGTGCGGACAGGAAGACCTCGACGAGATCAGTTGCGCGGGCAAGACGAATTGCTGGTTGCTACGAGAAGCCGAGAATCCAGAGTACCGGGGCTCTCGCGACGACGAGGACGATGAGACCAGCGACGACGAGGCGCCGCCCAAGTACATTTCCAAGGTGGAGCGGTTCGAGCTCGAGCCCGCCGACTTTGGCCTGCCCACGCACCCACTGTCGCAGGTGGGCGGTGGTGGGCTACCCCGGCAAAACGCTGCCGTGTTGATGAGCATTCTGCGCAACGAGAGACCTCGCGACGACCCGATCCTGCACTTTGTGCTGATGAACATTGCCGCGTTGCTGGTGGTGAGCGGCGCCTGTGACGCCGATAGCTGTGAGAGTGGGCCGGTCATCACGGAGCGAGGTCCCGCGGGCGGGAGATGGAAAGAAGGCGTCAAGAAGGCCAGGTGGTGCATAGAAAGCGGGCGGGCTCTGGAGGAATTCGAAAAATTCATAGAGTTTACCAACAGGCCGTAGAAATAGAGAAGCCCAAAAAGTTCACAATGTCACTTGGTATATCATGTCGTCTGGAGCAGGCTTGTTTTGGAGTCATTTCTGTATTTTTTTTTTTTTTGGCAGATATCCATCGGTTTGGTCTGGCAAGGCCATCTTGTCTCAGCACCGTCCTAACAACGCCTAGGCTATGCGGAGAATCATAATCAAGAAACCCATTGTTTATCGCGTCTGCGTCTGCATCCTCCATCCGCATCGTTTCTTCTCGTAGCAGCCGCTGTCATATCTCATTTGTCAGGCACCACCGATCAGATCGGACGGGCTGTCCCCCACCCCCCCGGTTCATCGCGGTATAGTTTATTCACCGTGCCTCGAATTGCACCATCCTGTATAGATCTCCTCGTCAGCAACAAGTCCACACTATCCCACTATCCGTCACTTTTTTCCCAAGGCGCACCGCCTTGTTGTGGAAGGCCAATTTTTTGGGGGCAGGACTAACCGCTTAGTTCTCTCCTTGTAGAGCACTCTGTGCCCACACATGCTACACCGGATGACATCGCCTCTCCCCAAGCTGACTTTCGTGTTGCACTCGCCGCAGACGTACTGGACGGTCGGGCCTGTGGAGCCTTCGCCCGCGGCGTAGCCGGTCGCGAAGCCGCTGGACTGGCTGGGGATTTGGTAGGCTTGTGAGGACGACATGTTTTTTTTTGGGTTGGGATCTTTCGAGCGAGCGAGGAGGATCGGATGAAGGCGCACGGATAACGGGTGAGATATTAGGTCTCAAAAGAGGGAGGAGAGGATGGTTGAAGAGGCGTGTGCGTAGGAACACGATCTATGTGGAAGGCGAAAGTTGTAAATGTCTGTCGGAGAACGAAAAAGAGTTGCGCTTGCAAAATGGGTCACGTGCAGATAGGAAAAGTCCCAGCCTTGCTTACGTGATGGTTTCTGAGACTAAACCACCAGCAACGAGAAATCGACCGGGCACTAAACTCCTCCTTAATTGTACGAGGTACAAGAACAATACAATCTGATTCTCCTAATCTTCGAATCTTCTAGATTGATACAGACGAGTCGGATACCACAAGCAAGCTAGCGAATCCCATCGCTCGAAGTATGAGTTTATCTCTTCGCGACTGATGGCCGATGCAGTTGTGGCATCCATTTTTCAACGCCAGCGAAATTTCGCGGGGATATATATGGGTTAGGAACTGCCTTGTGGGTGGGGGATCAACCTCGCGTTGGGAATCATGTCCTGTTCCTTGGGTGGTGGTTCGTACCGATGTGCAAAGATCGAATGGTAGGGAACTGCTTGGTTTCACGGTACGTAGACCAAAGGAGTGAACGACATATCCTACCGTCGCGTACAGGTGCCGACCGTCGACTTCGAATATACATATTACAAGAATCTAGTTCTCTCTGTCCATTCACTGAAAAGCCGTGGATGGGATCCGAGCCATCACGTGATACAATGATAGAAACTGACAAGTCGGCGGCGCTATATCACGTGACGACCTTGATATCATCCACGCTTTTCAGGGGGTCTGACATTTGAACATGTATGCTCCTTCACGGGCATTGATAATCGACCCTGCCCGACGTTGAAGCGGGCGCGTTGGGTTTGTCAGTCCGGAGGAGGCTGGGGATTATGTGGAGAAGAAAGTGTACCTCGCGAACCGTGCAGATATCCATTTGTTATTATTTTAATCCGAAGGAGCAGGACCGGAGCCGGCGCGAGGAACGTGCTGCTTGAAGCAAAGACATCCCAGCATCAAATGAGCCCTGGGAAGCTGGTAGCTGCTGAGTGAACCTACTCATGCGGCTTGAGTCAAGGATGCCGAGAGTCCACTTGACTTCCACGGTTTAGGTTTGCCCAAAGGCTGCTGGACGCGATCTCCCGGGATCAACCCTGTCAAGCTGAGGGCATGTCAGCCTCGCCTGGGCAACAGGGGCAGACCTGCTGAGGTTTAGGTGGAGGTGGAGGTGAATGTCTCAGTCCCAGGGGCATGGATGGCCATGCATAGGACCGAGTAGATGCCACTAGACTCGGTGGCGAATCTTGACCTCTCCAAAGTCCATTTCCATTTTTGAACCCGAGCAACCCGCAACTTAGCCTGAGCCATGACTAAGCGGTTCTGAGCTGTGATTGTGCAATCCTGAGCGTCGTCTTGGCAGGCCTGAGGCGCTGTTTGACTACTGGCGTCGGCAGAACCTTGAGTACCAGACTGTGCAGGCCCCCATAACATGGGGCCCCTGGTCCCCAGTTTTTGGTGTTACGCTGCACGAATGGGCCAAGTTCCGTGTCCCCTGTCTTAGCTATTGTCGCCAGGAAGACACTTAGGGCCGCTTTTCCAGCCCGCGCTGGCGCCTCGGGAGGCAACCAGGTGGCAGAAAGCCTCTGATTTACCAGTGACGTGGCATCTGCCGACTTGTGCATTGTAAATTGAAGTCTCCACAACAAGTTCACATGCCGACAGATGCGTTTTGTGTTTTCAACGTTCGGGTTGTTTGCAATAGAGGGCACCCTTTCATCCCCACAACTCAATCTTTGAAGAAAGGGGCCAGAAGGAAGAGGGCATGAAAACGCGATGTCCTGTTGATATCTAGTACTGCAGTAAATTTGCGAACAGATGAGCGCCTTGGAATGATAGAATACCTATGTACCATGGGTGTGGTAGCGTCATCTTCGGCCAATGTCACTAAAGGCGGTTTGGGCATCCGTCTCCAAAGATAGAAGGGGTGCTGCGCTCGCTATTGCCAAGGTTGTGCTGTTGCCTTTCGACATACGCCGGCCTTGGCGGGCTATGTAAGGTTTGATAATCACCACCGAGCCCTGTTAGAGGCCGCCTCACTCTTCAGAAAGTCTCTAACGCCTCTGGGTAAGACACGTAGCCTATATAGTCCGACGGCCCCCAAGTCTCTTGAATGCAAAACGTCCTTCAGTTTGAGTTACAGCCCTGCGCAAGATTGTCCTAAGCTGGCACTTCACTTTAGAATAGATACTCCTTTACCTTCCCCACCCTCAGGAGCCCGGTTCGCCGGCCGAATCCCACCGCATCGGAGCTTTTCCGCACCCAAACTCGGTCATTGCACAGTACCACGCTCCAATCACAGGTGAATCTCCAAACGAAATGGTTCAGCTGGGAAAAGTGCACAACTCCGTCTTCTCAGGCATTGCGGAAGCTACTCTGGCTTTGGCGAATGTGAATTTTGACTTTTCATTGGTCAAGGTGAATTATCATCCTCCTATCGAGGTTGCACACCAATCAAGCGTCCTAGGTGAACGCCCCGGTCGAGTTTGAGGCAGTTGGTCATGCTCTAAGCACTTTCCGTCGTGATCTTGCGGAATCCGGATCTATTCATATAATAGCTAGAAAGCTAAGCGCCATCTTTGAGGCTATTGTCCCACCAACACCAAGACTATACGAAGCATATGGACGGAGAGCCTCGGGTATCTGTCGGCACTACGAAGAGAATGAACCAGGTGCTGAAAGACTAGGTCTGTTCGCCGACTTCGCTGGTCCAGACGGCATGTCAATATGGGCAGCTGCTACGTCAGGCAAGGCTGCAATTGCAGTCCATCTGCTGGCATGTGTCCTGTACGTACCCCTTCCCATCGAGAACACTGGTTGAACACTGACCTCGATATTCAGCGCAAGATTTTGGAAAGCAGCAGAAGCTATTTCGATATGGGAGGAAATTATCAGTGTTCGCAAGAAGCTTCTTGGAGAGGCGGCGAACGATGAGACATTTCAGATTGCCACCATTCTTGCCTCTCAAGTGTCGTTAACAAGGGAACAACTTGCAGAATGGGACAACAGCGCAAGAGCATGGCTCAGGTTCGCTGATCGAGCTAATGATGTGCAGCAAACCAAGCTCAAGCTTGTCATCGACGAGATACAAAGACCCATAGATACAAAATCTTCTCTGTATGAGAGTGTCATTGATGCTTGGACGGTGGCTCTCCGCGGCATGGAAGAATTGCTTAAGGGCGCCTCTCAGGGTGTTTCTCATTCTGGGTTGATACTGGCACTTTCATGTTGGCATCTTTATCCCGACCTCAGTGTAAGAATGTTTCACGGGCGCTCTGGAAATGCATGCGCGGCCAACTGACTCGAGGACAGTTCGAGGCTGGTGCTCCTGTCTTGCAGAAAGATGAGCTGTTCCCACGTGGGACCACTGTCTACCTCAACCTGCAGGGCAACCCGAACACGAATAAGCGCGGCATTTACTGGTCCTTGTCACTTTCTCATATGAGGTGAGTAACTATGCCGCTGATTAGGGCTACAATGGTCAGCTGATTGCTCCTGATGAAGGTTCTATGGGGCGCCTATATGGTCTGAGAGCAGCTATGCCACGGATTCATCGAGGATATCTTTCACTCAACTATTACACGCCGTGCTTGGTTCAACAAGCAGCCAATGGACTATCAAGTCTCCTTCACCGCTTGACGCCTCTCGCATCATACTGGCAATGTTTAAAAGCTTCGAAGGCAATGCTCCAGCATGGTTACGGATGCTCGAAGTTGCTGCTGCAGATATGCTGGACTCAAGCGACACTGCGAGGCTTTTGAATATGAAGCTGTATAGGGTCGGTCAGGAAAGAGGAGCATCAATGCTAGCGGATCCCCGCACGCATCCGCTCCCAGTCTTCGGCTTCTCAGACCCCTCACTGTTCCTAAGGTCCTTGAAAAGCCCAGAATATAAGCTCAAAATCCTTCGGAAATACGCAGAACGGTTCTTTCCCATGGCGAACGGGCGAGACGTGATTTTGAAGATCAACTGCCCCCAAAGCAGGTATGCGCAATTACCACCAGTGCCACAGGACTCCTTTTATGATGACATTCATACTCGCACAGAGCACACTGCGACCTCTGGTGCATTTCCTGCTATTACATCTCAAGACAGGCACCGTACCATTACTGATGCGAACGTTGAGGGGGGTGGGAGTGAATCAAATGCTAGAGATGTCTGCTCCGAAGGCCTACGGTATACAGTCACGCTACACAGAGCAGAAGAAGACAGAGAATCGCCATTCACAGAACACTCGCAAGGCGAGCGAGCGGACTTGACGTATGATGCTTTCTTCTTTGAGCAACCACAAGAAAAAGAAAGGGTAGACTCAAAAGGCACCCCCATTGAAAATGGTCCTGCCGGCACGGTTTCTGAAGTACAGCCCATGGATCCTTCAACCGTACCAAGAGTAGTAGTCTTTGAGGCTACTGATGGCCGAGATACGTTGTCTGACAAGGACGGAAATCCAGCGCCAGAATCAGACATCTATGATGAGTATATCTCTGCATTTCCACTGGAAGGAATTCATGCACATCGACCAAAGTCCTATCTTCACTGGTCCTACAGAGACGTCTGTGACGATGCGTGCTTCCTTCGCAGTGACGATCATCACGTCCACTTTAAGGCTAGCGACTGGATATTCCCGGACAACAACATCAATTCAATTGCCATTCTCCCACCAGACTCGCGGGATGATGATCGTACCTCAAACGATTGCGAACTTGGAGTCAGGAGAGACTTTTTCTTTGGGGATCCTAGATCTAGTGCGATGTTCGTCCATCCAGACTTAATCGCCCAGTTCGAGGCCGCCACGACAGGTCCCAGGTGGTCACAAAAACTCAATATGAGAAGGGAGATCGACTTGATCGATATCGAAGAAGCCTTCTGCTCGAACCAGATAGACATGGACATGTGGGCGTCAGACATAGAGAACAGGCCAGAAAAACGGCAATCCCTCTACTACCAGTCCCTCGCCGCCCTAGCATCGGCTTGGAATCTTTACAACGACTTGGGCCAGGCAACAGTCCATCCAGCTATCCTAGGTAGACGTTTCCTGGACTCGGCATGGACGAAGAGTCTCAAACTCGAATTCGCCCCGCTCACTCATCCAGAATGTCGTACCCTCACTCGTCAGCAGGCCTTTGCGTGCATTGCTGAACTCGAAACTGGCGGAATTGGTCTCGCGTCTTCCAAGTTTGAATCTGTCATGGCAATGTCCATTGGGGAATCCATCTACGTTGCAGGGCCTCTTTTACAAGATCCATCCGGACCCCGTGAACCCGACAAGGTCATCCGGCTTGATGGAAATGTAGGCAAGTCGGGCCTAGCACTCATGATCCCCCCTGCAGAGCCAATGATCTCGAAATCCAACCCTGAAAGCTGGCTTAGGATCGATCGACAAGAGTATGACGGACAACTACAGGACTGTTTCTCACGAACCAGCCTACACCTGTCTTTCACAGACTGGTCTGTTCCCGTCGGTACAGGTGTTGCAGAACGAGGTCATCGCAGCCCTGAAGCCTCGCTTGTGGAGACTCTTGTATCCGTCTTCGATGGGGGGAAGTGGATTGGTGACTTGGACGCCTTGACAGCCCTACGGCGAGGCTGTTCGCAGCCGGATCACGAATTCTTCTACTGTCACACTTGTGATCATGAGCTTAGTCCGGTGGATGAGGATCACTCATATCCAAATGCTACTATCGTGGCTATTAAGTCGTGGGACGAGTTCCTTGAGAGACCCAACAGTCCAGCAGTGGTCATGACACATGAAAATTGGGAAGCTAGACTAGCAGCAACAGTTATGGGAGTGGCAAGAGGGGATAGGGTTTTCCTCTGCAGAGGCGCTGTTTGTCGGGATTGTCTTTTGAAGCTGGAAACCTTTGGGGGTGAAAATCTCGTTAAACGAGCACTGTTTATTGCTTGACAATACGAGTTCGGTACGTTGCGGAAATGAGTATGTTGCTGGACCTTTCCCTCGTTTTCTTCTTCAACCACTTTTGTGAGATTTTGATACGGAAGGTGTCCTAGTTACGAATATTGGTTCCCAAAACTACACCATTGAAGGTGATCAGGTAAAGTTTCCATATTATCAATTAGAAACACTATAAAGTTTGGCGTGAGTCTCTAATGACGGTAGGGTTCCAGAGACGGGCACCCAGTAGGTGACACAATTCCGTCACCAGTGAGGCAGGAAATCCGGGCAGAATACCCTAATAGTGGGGACAGAATTCTGTCACCCCCTGGGTGACGGGACTGAGCACAGGTGATGAGAATGATGCGGAGGTTGAGCAGTGGCCTAAGCAAGCTGAGCAGCTTACGTAGGGGCTGACCTGAGGCTGAGCTAGGTCAAATGATGCCTGAGTATAGCGGCACGCCTTGGCCGCAAAGGGGTGGCCAAGTGAAGCGCTTTGTCGCCGCTGAGTGCTACAGACCCTCTACGAGAAGAATCTATTCGTGGGGTTTTTGTTGATTGTTTGCTCCTACGACGTTGACGGACGTCTCACTCTGTCACCCTCCGTGGAGGCTCCTCGCACAGTCCAGCCAACACGGTCTAGGCGGCCAGTCGGTCGTGATGAAAGACTCGTTCGCTGGGAGGGACTCGACGTCTCTCCTATTACGAGCAGTATTATTCTCCAATCCAACGTCTTTGGCGAGATGTCATCTGTGATCTGTAATCTGTACCAATTACCCCAGGAACTTTACCTACAGTACCCCCTGACTCGTAGATCTTGGCCAGGAGAGCCGAACTGCATGTTTCAAAACACCTCACGTCGCAGCCTCTTCTTTACCGGCATCACTTACCACCTACGAGTGCCTGCGAGCGAGTAAACGCCGGGTACCAAGAACCGAACACTCAGCTCCTCGAAGGATATGGTTCTAATCCCATAGCTACGGGTAAGTCGATGGCAGGATGCAAGAGGTGCTAGAGATCCCACACTCCACCTCTTCCCCGTCAGCCTGTCCAGCTGGTCCAGTAATAGAATTGCCTACAGCAGGTGCCGTAGTAGGTAGATGGAGGAGGCGCAGTGTGATCTCAAGTCCGCAGTGAAATCCTCGTCGTCGTCGACAAATGTCCGAGGTGATGACGACGCTGCAGCATTCCCCGTAGAGTAATTTCCTCTGCTGGGTCGTGGCTGATGGACCCCAACAAGTTAGCTACAAGTACCTACCTAAATACATGTTTGTTGTGCCCTCCTCGTCCTCGTAGGTACTAGTGCCTTACGAGATTATTGTGTGCCCTACGAGGACGAGCATGGGTGCATGGAACATCTACCGAGAACACGGTCCCATCGATGGAATAAATTAAATTAAGCATCTCTCTGTTTCATGTTTTCCCTGTTTCATGTTCCTGGCAACCCCTGGTTAACCGCCTCGCCGCCTCCGCTGCGCCGTGTACCTGGCTGGCTGGGCCGCCCACTCACCCACGCACCCACGCGCCCACCAGCCCAGCGGTACCAGGCGGGGGCTCGGGGAGACGGTCGTTAGGTCTTAGCATGCATGCATGCACGGGCGCACGGGGCGGCTTGCCCGGTAAGATAACTCGTATCTACCTAGCTTTAGGCAGCTGTAGCTGTACTTGGTATCGAGTACTCGTCCATACGCAGTACATTTGTAGGTACAGAGAAGAGACCTTACGTACGTGCATCCCTAGGTATCTACCTGATTTACTCGCACTCGTACAAATATGTATGTGGCATGCACCCTCATAGACCAAGCCACCCAGTTTCAAAATACCAGCAACAAAAGTCCTGTTCTGAAGATCATTGATCAACTTTAATGATAAGTTACATGTATGTACTTGTGCTAGGTACATAGGCACCCGGAACCAACCCCTCTCCCCTCCTTTGTGCATGCATGCATGGATGGGAGCTTCCAAAGCTCCTCGGTAGCCGAAAAGCTTGGACTGGCTGGGACGGCCGTCAAGCGAGGAAAGTCAACGGTGATCCGGGTTGGGCCAACACCCCCCGTAGCGCCCTTGGGCCCTCGCCCCCCCTCCCATGCGAAATACCGTAATTGACAATGCAGGGGAAAGGGACTTTTCTACATGCCCTATGCAGGTACCGAGTACTAGAGGACTGGATTACTGGTTGGGGGTACACCACTACACGTACTCTCCTCGTACTCGTAGTCCCGATCCCTTTGCTCTGCACGGCGAGATGCTCTTCGCTTCTTCAATGGAGTTGTTTACGAGTACCTTAACTGAAGTACTCGTACCGTGTTCTTTACCAGTATGGTGTACCCGTACCCGGTACGGAGTACCAGTTCCAACAATGCATGTGGCTTGCGACTAACAAGGGGGCTGTCAAAGCCTATCACCCGTAACTCTTAGTGAGCGCCACCAACGCCACCGAGCGCATCGTCGTCGTCATCTTTGTCAATCATCAATCAACCTCATCACCACAATCACAACCACCAACCACCACCAACCGCCGTGCCGTTGCTTGGACCCAGCCCAACGGTAACAACAGCAACAACAGCAACAGCCACCAAAACAAAATTCGAGATGCGCAATCAAAGATTGTCCGTGTACAATATCGACGGTTTTTGTTTTCAATTTTCTTTTCAAAGTGTCCCTATGTGTATGGTATCCAAGAAGCGAAGTCTATCAACATTCACGTAATAACACCCGTTGTAAATCTCGTAGAGAGCGGCATCCCTCGAGTCTCCGTGGGGATTTATCCACGTTCTATAACAATAGAATTTTTTCCACCCACCATCTGCACATGCGCTGAGTCCGACCATGACATCCCCTGTTTTTGTTATAGAGGTATATGCCAGATCAAGGAACCTCAAGTCATGTCGATAATACCGCGAGCAAGTCAGAAAAAAAGACTATTGCCCTAAAAAGATCCGAGAAGAAAGTTTTGTAACGCCAGCAATCATTGTCCACCATCGCCGCCGCTGCTGATCATCAGTCATGTCATGACTTGATTCGCTGCATGTTTCGTGAGATTTCTGTTAATTTGTTGCTGTGTAGCCACGCATTGTTGTCCTGATGTTGTTTTCCAATATTCCACGGGAGACCTGTCGCCGGGACTGAAAAGTGTAGAAAGATGGTTCATGATCGTCGAGATCGGGTACTAAACCTGCAGGGGCATTGATATATCCATGTGTCGACTCATGGAAGATACCGTAAAGGAGTGTATATGCAGGCAGCGTAAGGCGGTAGAGAGGCGGCAGAGCTAGCTGCGCAAACAGTATTGGAAAACTTAAATGACATCTAATGCTGGTGACTGTTCCTGGTCCGAAGTTGCTGGGCCGCGGTCATCTATGCCATCTTGGGCAAGTGACGAGCATGGACGCGGTAATGGATTTGGCCTTCGTTGACAGCGACGCTTCGCTTGCTCGATCCACCGGGGCAAATGGTCAGGACGAGATTGGCCTCCTCGTTGCACACCATGGTGCGAGTGTCATCGGGAGCATTGTAGGCCGCGGTGCACACAGCCTCGCCGGCAGGGCAGTCGACGACAACACAGGTTGGGTTGCTTGGGTCGTTCTGCATCGAAGGAACAATCTGCATGCCACCCGCAGAGAAGGGGTAGCCGTTGATGTTGGAGAGATCGTACGAGATCTTGCCATTGGCCCAGGTGAACTCGAACTGAGAGATGGGTCCGGAGGTGGTGGCATTGGGTGCAAGCTTGATAGAAACGCCAACACCTTCCTGACCGTAGCCTTCGCTATAGCTTCCCTGGAGCTGTTGCATGCTCGGGTTGGAGCTGCCTCCGACCGATGCATAATAGACGGGATAGCCGCAGTTGTTGACGACGGTGGCGGTTCCCAGGGCCAGGACGGCAGGGGCAGAGGCAAGCAGCACGGCTGCGCCAGCAACGAAGTTCTTGAATTGCATGTTGATGGTATGGAACCCTGGAACAGGTGAATCACTGGAACTGTGGTGTTTGGACGGAAAAGGAGTGGTCCTTGAAGGGTGTTCTTGTCGACAAAAGGTCTTTTCAGCTAAGGAATGATGCTGATTGGAGACCTGCTCGAGGCTGTCACAGAAGGAGACGTTGTAAGGATTGACACGATGTTGGCAGAAACAGGAAATCACACAACAGAGGGGGAGGACGCGGTTTAAGTAGATGATCTCAACCTCCACGTTCACATCAACAACAAACCTCGAGGAGGCTTGATGTGAGTTGGCCTTGAGCGCCTTCGAGCCCTCCAAGCCCCCACAGGACATGGGACCCCTTCCTCCATCGTTCAGAGATTTTCGCAGGTGCGTTGGTGCCGGCCGCCACGGACAAGACCACGATGGAGCCCCTAGGGAGACTGTCAAGATCCTGGTATTTTTCAGAACAAGGTAAGAAGGGGAGTGCAAAAGCATAACCAGCCTAGGCCGGATGTGCTTTGAAACAGTGATGGCCGGGGTCAAGGGTTGTCCCCCTGGCGGTGAAGTGGATGGGATTGTTGGATTTTTGCTGGTTCCTGAATATCGCTGTCAAATGGGAGGCCGAGCGCAAACCCTGAGGGTGGGTGGTACCTGGTCTAATGCAAGCCACAAAGCGCCCCCAACTTGGCAAATGCTGGTTAGAAGACCCGCTCCGGTACGGAGCCTTGATACCCATTCCAGACCCAGTCGACCCTTGTCAGGTACCAAAGGGCGGCGATTGGGAGCTGTCAGAAAGGGTCGCCGAAAAATTCCGCAGGAGGGGCCGGTAAAGCTAAGCAAAACAGAGGTAGGCTTCAGGCACGGGGAGAGGAAATCTCCCAACACACCCTCTTCCCACCGTGCCGGTTCGTTTTCCCTCGCTTGGAATTGCCCACGTGTAAGCGGGGACGGATAATGGGCGTGCTAGCGATTCAGGCAAACAAGGTTGGTGTCCGGGCCATGGCGACTGAATCCTAATGTTGTCTGCTGTATCGCCGTGCCACGAGGATATGACAGACCTCAGAGCAGACGTGTCACCATTTCCCTGGGTGCCT